CCAGTTTGACACCACTTTAACTGCCATGGCTTGATGCTATGGAATTCTTGGAATTGTAGTTTGTTGTGTCACCAGAGCTCTCTGACAAAGAAACCTAAATATCTCGCCAAACTACAATTCCCCAAATTCCATAGCATTGAGCCATGGCAGTTAAAAGGGTGTCAACCTGGATTATTTCTGCAATGTGGATGTAGTCAACTTGAGCTGGGAACTCTACCAGAGGATGGCGCTCAAATAGAAATGGTATGTTGTTGTGAATGCTGCTGGGCTTAAATTGCTTTTTATAAAGCTTTTACAGTCAGTTCTCTGTATCCATGGATTCCTTATCCAAGGACTCCACTATCCACAACTTGAAAATATTAAAAATTCCTAAAAGCAACCTTGATTTTATCACTTTAAATAAGGGACAGCATTTTATTATGCCATTGTATTTAATGGGACCTGATCATCCAGGATTTTGGTGTCCATGGAGGGTCCTGGAACTAAATCCCAGCAGATACCAAGGGCCCACTGTAGTTACCATTACTTTTAGCAAGTTTGAAAAAAAAGTTTAAAAAAACAACCCAAAATGTTTTTTTTTTAATTTAATTTTGGTGTGTGTTGGTTTAAACCAGTTTTCTTGCATTATTGTGTAGGACGACACCAATATAAGACTGAATCAGAAAATTAAGTTGCCAAAATGCAGTTCAGATGTTACGGCCACTACTTTAAATAATAATTGTTCTTTTAAAAGTGCTGTCTTAAAGCAAGTTGTTTTGGTTGAACTTAAGTGAAGGATTTGTTTCCGAATGGCATTATTTGTGCTATAAAATAAATTTTATATTTTGAAAAAATAACAAAAAGCTAGTTGTTACAGCACAGTGACTTCATTCCCACCAGTTAACATTGTTTTTGAAATGTACCTTGGCTATGATAATGCTTAAGAGGAATAACTTATGATAGATAACTACATAGAAGTGCATAGTTCTCTCCAAGCATTGTCCGATAGTTAAGGAGTGTGCAGTAGCAGACAAAAGGGAAAGGAATGGAACACCTGTTTCACAAATCTCTTTCTTGTTTTCCAAAATGACCTCCTCAGTCTGAACAGCACATGCGTCTCCATGAGATCCTGCAAGACCACTCCCGAAATGCAGCCCTCATTGTCATGTAAGTCACTCACTTTTCCTATTTTACAAACTTAAATATTCTAGGATAGTGGTCATTCTAACATAGCAACATACACTCTTCATCCTCTGAAACAAGCCTTATGCCAAGTTGGATGGGGCCATAATTAAGATCACAACTGTGTCCCAATACACTGTGTCCCAAACATATGTGTATGTGCCTTCAAGTCTCCTCTTGATGTTGGTGACCCCATCAATTTCATAGGTTTTCTTACATAAGGAATACTCAGAAGTGGTTTTACTAGTTCCTTCCTCTGAAAGGAATCCTACACCATTTCGGATTCATTGACTGTCTCCCATACAAATATTAACCAGGAACGGCCCTACTTAGCTTCCAAGATCAAATGGGATCTGATGTTTAGGCCTACAGGAAACATACCTTCATTTGAATCTGGAGGCACCTCTAGCACTTGCAGGCCTTCTGGCAACCTTTCCAAGTCAGATTTGGCCCAGACAGAGCTGGCATTTGCTGATCTGTTATTCTGAACATGTGTGGGTGTAAAATATTCTTACTTTCTGTTGCAAGGAAGGCAAGTTCACCCACATGATGGGGTTTTTTTAGACTGCAAGTACCAGCAGCAGTAGCCAACAGTCAGTGAGGATGCTGGGAGCTGCAGTCAAATAATTGTGGAGCTGCACGATTTCCGCCTTCCTGTGTGAACTGCAATCCTGTGCATGCACAGAATTCAATACAAGATGCAAAATGTCATAGCCAAAAGAATTTGTAAAAAAAAACAACAACCCTCAGTTTGAATATTTGAGGGGACTATCTTAAAGTAGCCCCTTGCCTTTCCCTTTCTTTGCAGAACTAGAAAAGTCTGTGTTGGGTTGGGAATTGCAGTCATCCACAAAATGAGTATTCCTCATTATACCCTCAATTGTCCCAATTTGGCAGGGACAGTCCTGATTAATCTGTCGGTCTATTTGTTCAGCTGCTTTTAAAATGTCTCAATTTCTTTTTTTCCTCCCACTTTCTCTCTTCCTCCTGAACCTACTTCGATTGTTGGTCAGTATGTTTTCTGTGCTGACTAAGGCTGCTAGGAGGTACAGACCAACAACTCCTCTGTGTAATAAAGGATGCATATATGCAATGAACCAGATTTCCATATTTTTACACAGGCATAAATTCCCTCTGGTCTGAATTTTGAGTTCTGAAGGGCGAAAGAAAGATGAGGGTGTATATGGGCCTTCACGTCATTTGTTGACTTATGCTGACACCATAATTTCATAAGATTTTCTTAGGCAAGGAATATTCAGAGGTGGTTTTCCCAGTTCCTTCCTTCAAAATACAATCTGCAGTTTCTGGCATTCTTTGGTGGTCCCCCTTCCAAGTA